TATTAAAAGTGTATATATGATATATAGTTGTATACAATAAGTACATTTCAACTGTTCCAAGTCGTTATATTTTAAATCATCTTGCAGAATATCAAATGTGCCAGAACACAGAATTGTCCCAATATTCACGAAGAAGCACACTAAGTACGTTGTAAACATTATGTTTGTAAATGAAGTTTTAGAGATAAGAACTTGTTTTAAACATTTAGGTTATTAAGATATATATCAATACGTTAGTCCAACAGCACATCGCATCAAGTCAAATCAATTCAAATAAGCTTCTTTGTTTTTGGTAAATTATTTTGTTATAAATTAGGCCGTTAATTTTCTTAATTGAAATATTTCATATTTTTCATGTCGGAGCCTTTTATTGCCGACTATACGGTATGGGTTCTTCTCGTTGTTAAAGGCCGAGCGGTTGCCTATAATTGCTAACATCCACTTCATTTGAACTTGATGGATAGTTGTCTCATTGGCAATCATACCACATCTCCTTATTTTTATATTATTCATGGTCGGCAAAATAAGTATCAGCACAACATAAGCTCATAGGTAGAATTTGAACCTACTAATTGTTGTACTCTCATACACTCTCTATAAAGCGACTTAAAACGACTTATTGACAGCAAACCCAATCCTCTTACAGCCTGGTAAAGTACGGTCAGTTAATCCGGATTGCCTGGTCTGCTGACATGCTTACGAGCATCCCTATTATTTCCATGGCAATGGAGCAAATTTTAATTAATCATTTATGTAAAAAATACTGCGTTCCTTCCTATGAAACAAATTTCCTGATTTTTTAAAATTATTGTAAATAAACCACAAAAAAAAAGACACTATAGATACCAGGATTTAAATTTTGAATCTGCAAAAGACTTGTCAGTGACGCTTGAATCAAAAAATTTAAAGAGACCAAATAAAGTACGAAGTTGAACAGCAATGAGGACCCAAAATCCCGAAAGGCTCTGCCAAATACAGCTAAGGAACTCTATTCCTGGGTTAAAAATTCTTAGTATTTCGCAGAATTTAAATTTACTCGTATTTAATTCTTAACGATTATAGGCATTAAATTTGACCGGAGGGAATGACTCCGGTGCTGCTCAATTGCGAGTACTGGGGTATCTAGTCCTATAAACACACGAGATATTTTGATTAACGGACATTTTGTGAGAGGTAAGTTTAGGCTGATGTCAAGAGAAATCTCGATTGATAGTTTTTTTAATGTAATAAAAAGGAATGTGAGGAATACTTCAAAGACAGGACAAAACAGACCATAAAACAACTGGGGGTCAACATGCAGTTCTCGACAACGGACATCTGTCTATATAGATACAACAGGTTCAATTAAACAAACAATCAAACAATTACTATTGATTGAATAAACAAACAAAAAGGCTAAGACAAAATAAAACAACTGAATATGTCTCTGACTCAGGACAGCCAACAATTTTATAAACGATAGTGATAATTTAAAAAACTTGATTTTATGACGTTTTTATAAGGAAATAATTCAATAAGATGTAGGGTATACTTTGATGTGACAGTAACAACCTAATAACACAAGAAAACACAAAAAAACACCCTGAGGTCACAATAGGTTTACAAAAGGGACATATCAATACAAGTTTTAAATCTCTTTATTTTAGAAAAAAAGCCGTCTGTTGATAATAACGACTACCAAAAATCTACAATCAACATCGAATTATTTCCGGGACATAAACGCACTAAGATATTACTAAAGACAACAACTGACAAGAAGACCTAGAAGGGGCAATCAAATGGGAACAAGACTGGCTAATGCAGTTCCACCCTGACAAAGGCAATATACTTCGAGTGACCACAAAGAAAACACCTATTCATTTTTATTATAATTAGGAAGAATGGCTATTGGAGAAAAAATATTAAAAAAAAATAAAAAATAATCAATTATGCTGTTGTGTACTCTATCTTCAATTCTATCTTGTAACACAACAGCAGCAGCAGCGCCTGAATATGGGATATATATCTCCCAGCTGATACCAGCTTTCGTTTTCTATCGACAATTTTCATTGATTTTTTGCTGGTTACATGTAGCTGTATTTTGAATCAAGTGACAAAGGTTAAAAAGTCATTCATAAAACGAACACCATCATAATTTTGTTGATTACAGATATCTTCATATTATCGTAGCCACAATCCTGTCGTCTTTTCCTCGACTGAGACACTACTGTTTGATAATTACTACCGACGAGTAAAACAACGGGTGGAACAAGTGAAGCAGGCACAGGTTTCTCCCAGAGCATCTAACAGGTTTTTTGTTTGAGTTCGTGTTACACAATCGTTAGTTCTCTATGAAACGGACTGTTGTTTGTCTTGCATCAGTTTTTTAAGGCAAGGTAGTTTTGACATTTGGCTTTAGACCCACCCCGTTGGTATTGTACTATGCATTTGCCATTGTGTTGTTCTCATTGGTTTCAAGAACATTCAAAGTTTGACAAATTAATTCATTTAGGGACTATACTTCTTTCTATTGGTGAAAAAAATATCGGATGTAAGATTTCAAATCTGAAAAGACCTAAGATAAAAATGGGGTGAATAGCACTAAAACGAAAATTGTACATACAATGAATTTTCTTTTCAAACGTTTTCATTGATTGTAAATAAAAAGTATTATTTAAGATACAGCAAAAGTAAAAGAAAAAACAACGGGGATAATAGCAATTACATTAAAGTAGCACAGCAAATGAAATAACATTTTATTTTTAACATTTCCATTGAGAGTAAATAAAATGAGTAGATAACAGGCAGCACCTGTATCAATGACCTATAACTATCTGGAACTGTAGACAAGACAATACAAGCATACATAAGATAGCGTACGAATAATGAATTGAAGATTAAAGAAATGATCAAAGGAACAGTATTATAAGGCAGTATTTGATACTTGAAATACGACATTGGTATAATAAGTGACATTTGCTACAAAAGACTCGTTAATGCCATTTGTAAGGATTGATTCATAAATTTTAATCTGCATATTCTCTAATTCTGGATCCTTCTTTGCATATACATAAAAAAAAACCAAAAGAAACCTATAAAGACATATAAACATTAAGACACCTTAAATGCGCTCTACTATCGGTTTGTAAATGCCTGAGACGGAATTACATTGTAGGTTACAATCCATTAAAGTTGGAGCTGGTGTAGAATTTATAACTGGTTTATTGTGAAACTTGCAAATAAAAATACTTCACACATCAGTAAAATGCACTTATTTCAGGGCTGTAAGCTTTGGATTCTCAAATATTTTGGTCTCGAGCATCACTGAAGAGACATTGATTGTCGAAATGCACATCTGGTGTAGAAAAAAATGGTACCGTTTATATTATTACTACCACTGGGTCGATGTCTCTGCTGGTGGACTGATAGTCCCCGAGGGTATCACCAGCCCAGTAGCAAGTACTCTAGTACTTAAATGAAATACGGATTTTATCTTATTAAAATTTGCTGTTATAGAATTTTGGTAATTTTTTTAAATTAAAGAATATATCTCCCTCATGCAAAGCTCCGATTCCTTGCACGGTTTTTGCGATATTTTTTTGTCTTTTTAAGTTTATAGCTCTTCATCCTGTAATAGTCTTCGGATTTTTTCAGATATTTTGGTCTCGAGCATCACCGAAGAGACATTGATTGTCGAAATGCAAATTTGGTGCAGAAAATAAAATTGGTACCGTTTATATCATTACTAGGTATTTATGGGAGGACTGAAATTGACATTCCCACATTGTGTATGTCTTTTTATTATTATCTGTTGGATATTTAATCGTTAAATTGTAACTCATCAAAGATACCAGGATTATGTTTTTTTTTTACTTTTTCAACTGAATTTTCTTTTGTATCCGTTTGTCATTACCTTAAACTGAAATGCAAATATGCATGGTTTTTAAAGATGAGAAAACATAATTGTTTTGGGGTCTTTTCGGTTATTCCTTCGCATGGATAAAGCTGTGAAATATTTGTAAATTCTTGGATAATCTATAAACATCGTCGCGATACCTAAGCATAAAGATGAGGCATATGTTTTTGATCTTTTTATTCTAAATTAATGATTGAAGGAATACTTGTTTTTATTAGTTTAAATTCTTTTTTGCAATAACATTTTTATTAGGGATACATTCTACATTTTGTTATATCCTCTTATTTAGACTTATCTCCGGGTTTGTACTTACACGAGCAACACGACGGGTGCCACATGTAGAGCAGGATCTGCTTACCCTTCCGGAGAACCTGAGATTGCCCCCAGGATTTGGTGGGGTTTGTATTGCTCAGTCTTTAGTTGTCTGTTTTGTTTTTGAACAGTTGTTTTCCGTTGATCTTTTTCCTTTTTAGCCATGGCGTTGTCAGTTTATTTTCGACTTATGAGTATGAATGTACATTTGGTATCTTTTGCCTCTCTGTTAGATCACACGTGTTTCAGTACTTATACACCCTTGGTTTTCAACTTTTTGGCAAAAGGAAAAGCACTTCGGACGCTTAAAACTTATAAAGTGTTATTTTCATTTTCAAGTAAAAAAAAGGTTGTGTTACTAGCGATTGTTTTATTCCATCTGTTCAATATATGCCCAACTTGGATTGACTGAAGACGATAAAAATTACAAGCTGCAATGCATGAGTGAAAAATAAAAACAGTAAAAGCGTAATCAAACAATTTTAAAGGTTTTCTCCATGAGTTCATGTATTACCCTCTATCAATCAAACATAGCTATGATCTTTTGAACACTTTATTCATATGGATTGGACAAGATTTTCGTTTAGTTTAGGTATACTTGCCGCCACTCTAATCGTATAGAGTATCCAACTTTATTCCATTATTATATCTTAGAGATGAAGGGATATAAATCAAAGCCAGCAACAAGAATAAAAAACCATAAGACATCATTTAAAAAAATATATACAGATTCATTTGATTTTTTTTTTTATTAAAATTCATAGTCATAACAGCAACAGTACCAACTACCGAAATGACAACACCTGGACATTCTACAGTGACAACTACAGAGATGACAACACCGGGACATTCTACAGTGACAACTACAGAAATGACAACGCCTGGACATTCTACAGTGACAACTACAGAGATGACAACACCTGGACATTTTACAGTGACAAGTACAGAGATGACAACACCTGGACATTCTACAGTGACAACTACAGAGATGACAACACCTGGACATTCTACAGCGACAACTACAGAGATGACAACACCTGGACATTCTACAGTGACAAGTACAGAGATGACAACACCTGGACATTCTACAGTGACAACTACAGAGATGACAACACCTGGACATTCTACAGCGACAACTACAGAGATGACAACACCTGGACATTCTACAGCGACAAGTACAGAGATGACAACACCTGGACATTCTACAGTGACAACTACAGAGATGACAACACCTGGACATTCTACAGTGACAACTACAGAGATGACAACACCTGGACATTCTACAGTGACAACTACAGAGATGACAACACCTGGACATTCTACAGTGACAACTACAGAGATGACAACACCTGGACATTCTACAGTGTCAACTACAGAGATGACAACACCTGGACATTCTACAGTGACAACTACAGAGATGACAACACCGGGACAATCTACAGTGACAACTACAGAGATGACAACACCGGGACATTTTACTGTGAAAACTACAGAGATGACGACACCGGGAAAATCTACAGTGACAAATACAGAGATGACAACACCTGGACATTTTACTGTGAAAACTACAGAGATGACGACACCGGGACAATCTACAGTGACAACTACAGGACAATCAACCCTTGGTCAATCAGAGGTGACAACTACCGAAATGACAACACCAGGACATTCTACTGTGATAAGTAGAGATATGACAACACCTGGACATTCTACTGTGATAAGTAGAGATATGACAACACCTGGACATTCTACTGTGATAACGAAAGATATGACAAACAATAGACAATCAGTGACAACTGCAGAACTTATAGCACTTGGTCAATCAAAAGTCACAACTACCGACATGACAACACCTGGAAACTCGTCAGTGACTACCTTACAAATAACAAAGCCTGAAGCATCTGAAGTGACAACTAGGAACACGACACCAATTTTGGTAAAGTCCCAGGTCACTTCAGTTGAACCGATCGTTCCACTTGAATGCCTATGCCCCTGTTCTAAGGTTGGAAAAGGCAAATGGGATTGCTTACGTGGAATGAATCTTACTCTTGATCAAATAAGAGAAATACTGAAGCCAGAATTAGACCTAATGAAAAAAGAACAGTATCAACAAATCCAATACAAGCCATATGCTTCGTTCGAAGATATCAGCTCCAGACGATCGTGTATTGGCTGCATCTGTAGGATATGTTGGAGTCATCTTCATTTGCCTTATAACAGTTTTAATTGTTTTCATTGACATACTCGGCTGCATTGTTGCTAAATTTAAAAGACGTTCTTGATTACAACTTTAAAGAAATGGTTCCTGTTGCTTTTGTGTTTTTGTTTTCTTTCTCAAATAGACATATATAATCTAATCAATTGTTATCTTGATTTTTGAAATGTGCAGGTTAAGTATACAATGACATATGTATGAACATAATAGTTTGTCTTGATACGAATGGGTCTGTTAGACTTAACTATTTGTTTGGCATTTGTTACACAGGCATACATATTTCGTCGAACCAGTAGTGAAGTCCATTATTCTACTATTTCCATATCCGATCTGTTACAAAAGGTGCATACATATGTTGATCTACTAAAACATTCCTCATATTGCTGTCTGGTCTATTGTAAGCAAATGTTGGCTTTGTCTAACTTTGTTTACCATTCGCTAGCTTATCAAGTCTGTTTCTCGCAAATTCAATTTATTAGTACGGTAACCGTACTATTGCATATGTACACCAGAGACATATACAGAAACATAAACATTTGCCTTGACCATATGCAAATTATATACAGTTACAGTGCTCTGCATTTTCATTTCATCATTGAATATATCACTGCATTTGTTGAACATCTTTTTTTGAACTTGATTATACTTGTTTTAGGTCTTTGTATAACACTGCATTAAGGGGATCACAATTCAGCAATACAGCATGTACAACATTTGTTTGTTTGTTTTGTTTTGGTTTTGTTTTGTTATTTGATAGACATAAAACTCTAGAAGGAGTTCAAAGAAAAGGTGGAAAGATATTCGAAAATTTGGTATTTTGGTAAAATTATTCTGCAGTCACATTTATTATTTTATGTAAATCAAATAAAGAATTTGCTTCGTCGTGTTTTCCCTGCTTGCTAAATAAACATTATGCCTCGCTTGCAACATACGAGCAAATGCCATTGACAAAATATATTTCTAACAACATACTTATAGAAAAGTTACAGTTTTAATTACATGCACCATATATATATTAGATTTTGTAAATATATTCTTGATGTTACAAAAAATTGTACAAATATTGATAATTTGTCCGAACTAGGAAAATTCTCTCTTTATATTGATATTCTTACAAACATGTGTATGTATTGGCACCGCCTTGTAAACCCATCTACAAAGCTATGTACATTAGCTTTCAGTGACTATCAAACAAGAGAGGTAGTTATAACCAATACCTGGTATAATACAAGTAAATTCTTTGGTGAGAAATTAAATTTTGATCTCTTTTTTGTTTGCCAAAAATATAACAAGTTTGCTAAAAAATGCTCCAAATTATATTTTATTAAGCATTGGAAAAGCATAAGAGATTCCATGTGTCATGGGATTACAGCAAATAAAAAAAACCGATTTAAATTTCACACTGAACTTTGAATTTGAAAATTTTGTTAATATCAAAAACTAACAAAAAAGATTCACATTGTGTAGATTTAGACTAAGTAACTATAGTCTCCGAATTGAGGGTGGTCGTTATGAAAGAATTATTGATAGTCGAGGAAAATTGGTTGTTTTACCTCGTCACGATACAATATGTAAGTTTTACTCACTCAACACAGTTGAAAATGAAACTCATTTTTTATTTACATGCTCTCTTTATAATATTAGAGAACCATATCTTAATAACATTTTTCATAAGTTTCATATCTTGATAAAATAACATAAAAATGATCTTTTAATCTGGACAATGTCAAATGATGACATACAATTTATATCAGAATTCAGTGATTATCTTAATTCTTTATTTAAAACAAGAAGGACAAAAGATCTAAAAAAACACCATTATATCTTGACAAAAAAGTATAGGTAAATAACAATAATTTATGAATATCTGATATGGACCAGGAGCTTTTCTCCTTTGTATATTGTATGAACTGACTCCCCTTTTATTATTGAACAATTATTGTTTGCTATATGTATTAATAATCATACTTATATTGTAATGGCTGTTTCTGTAACTTGATTGATATGCTTGTAATAAGTCCTATGGTTAGGAAAATAAAATAAGTGTACCTTGTTCACAACATGCACCACGTTAGAAAACATTTACTTGTCTAAGAGCAAGTATGGCCTTGCTAGAGAACATTAGGACATAAATCGTGCCATGCAACTGATATCAAAAACAAAGAAAATTTCTATCTGTCTTAGACTACACAAATAACAAATTTACTTTAACAGATATAACATAATGCTCCAATAGTTTCGTTAAAAATGAAATAAAAATACGTGTATGACTTAAATGTAATAACTTTAAAGATCTTGGCATTTGTAGACAATGAACAGCCTAGAGAGTTGTTCACTAAATGTCCGAAAATATCGGTTTCCCAGCCCAACAACTAGGTAAATAACTTCATGCTACTGATGGATGCAGGTGAGGAATTTGCCGGAAAATTGTTAAAGTGCGAGCAAGATGGACCAAAATAGGACACTTGATCAGTTAGATGAAAGATGTTCGCTCATGCGTTTAGAAGCGCATTTATAAACCTACGATGCACAATGAACACATGCAAGAAATTGTAAATGCTTTATCCTCTCTTTAATTTACTACACATATGTTGTTGTCCCAACAGAACAAGTGTCAAAACATATTGTTTGTATATGAAAAACTCACTATTTGGATCATCTAGCTATTCATAAGATTGTATATTGACCGCTAATTAGCTTTTGTTTTTTTTTCTTTTTTTGCTGTATTATTGTTGTAGACAAGACATTCAATTTTTTTTTAAATTCCACAAGACGAATGGCTGTTTTCTTAACAAAAACAATACATATGTTATAATCGTCTAATCAATGGGTATGTTTTTACAAACTCATTGTGAGTTAACATGAGGATTGACGGAAACTGTTTATTTCAGTAACTTTAGTATCTACCATTATTTTGTTTATTTATCATTGTTTATGATTAAATCCATGTTAATCATGTATATCTAGTTCTTAACAAAACATATTTCAACAGAGTATATGGAAAATCTTTTTCAGTTATTATTAGAAATCTTCGACAATTTTTTTTACCTAATTACCTTATTCAAATATCATCATAGCAAAATACAATTAGATCAACTGCTTGGCTATTATTACTGACACATTAGTATTATCTTTAAAGATGACAAAAATGTAATTCCAAATTGTAAACATTTTAAATTTTGAGTAAAGGTGTTATAAAAATGAGGAGATGTAGTATGATTGCCAATGAGGCAATAATCAACCAGAGTTGAAATGAAGTGATAGTAAGCAATTATAGCCACCACCCGGCCTTCAACAATGAGAAAAACCCAGACCGAATAGTCGGCTAAAAAAGCCCCGACATGAAAAATGTGAAACAATTCAAACAAGAAAGTTAACGGCCTCATTTATAACAAAGCAATTTACGAAAAACAAATATAACAAAGAACCAACTACAACCACTGTACTACATGCTTCTGACTTGTGAAGGGCACATCATTTTTTTTTCAATGAACATTTAATTTTTCATCGTTTGATAAATGGATTGTCGTTTGTTGTGCTTTGAATTCTGTACTTCGGTTCACTTTGGACATCCATGTATATTATTTTTTCAAAATATACTCTGGAAAATAGAAATATACAAACTGGGTCTATAGTTTGAAATGGTCGATTTCAATAAATAATACAATTTCAAATGTTATATATATGCATAATGCAACTTCCATTATTTATATTTGAAATATTGAAATAAGAAAAAGTGGAGACGATACCATTAAGGTAATACAAATCCGAAATTCCAAATAAAATACTAATGTGGCTGTAAGAAAAACAAGTAAAAGACAAACAACAGTTCAACAAAACAACACACAAAAATGTAAAGTTTTCGTTTCGAAAACTCCTCCCAAATTTGAAAGTGAGTTGTTCTGTACGAGCGGGAAGATCTTGCACCTCTATTGAAAACCGAAGTTTTGCTTATGTAATCGTCATATAAATGCCATTACCTAAATTGTCTTTATGATCACAACAATTTATTTGTTTCATTGATATCTCAAGGTCCCTACTTACACAAAATGACGACTTTGAAAATGAAGATATACTTTGGTAGTATTCTGGAGGTATCGGTACGGACTTGAATAAAACAAATCCTGGTTTCCTATATTCAATATGATATTAAAAAAAATATCTGATGTTGACGAATGACGGTATATTTATTGCAATAATTATTAATAAGTCGAAAATAAACTGACAACGCCATGGCAAAAAAAGAATACGAACAACAGACAAACAGTCAAACACAACATATAGAAAATTAAAACTGAGCAACACGAATATTATGTATACGCCACTGGAAAACATAAATTCTCTGTTTGGATAAGTCTATGTAGTCTATATAGATATGTTACAGTACACTTTGGAATTCAGTAGGATCCAGAATCATCCTAGTACAAATTGAAATTGCAATATCTACTAGAAGAAATTGGAATTCTGATTTATACTAATTAAAATCCATTACAAATCAGAATTCCAATATCTACTTGTAGAAATTGGGATATCAAGATTTGTACTAAGAGGATTCTGGATTGTTCTAAATTCTAGAAGAATCCAGGATATTACTAAAAACAATAGTTAGATGTTCTAAGGGATTTTTTTTATCATAAATTGACAAGATTGTTTTCTGAATATCGATTTTAGACATTGTTGAAAATTTAGCATGTTTCGTTAAATTTTGTATTGAAAGACATTATCAACATAAATGATGTAATTTTTCTCTGGTAGAAAATATTAAAAATACTTCTAATACAATTTTGTTTTTGGTTAAAGGCAACCATATATAGGTCTATGATTTAAAACCTCTAACGAACTTATGAAACTGTGAATTATAGTAAAAGTTGAAAGTTTTTAGAAAAATAAAACTATAGAAAATTTGTTTTATAATATCAGTTTATTTCATCATAAGAAAAATCTTAATTAGTATACATCTAGTACAATCAAGGATCCTTCTAGTACAAATTTGAATATCCCCGTTTCTACTAGTAGATATTGGAATCCCAATTTGTAATGTAACATATGTATAAGTTTTTTGAAAACACAATAACATGTATAAGAAGATTAAGCATAAGTTGTACACACCACATCAGAACTTCAGTACAGGATGGACGTTTTCACGCATTGAAAAAGACTGCAAACATTTTACCTTTTATTATGTCTGGAGAAATTGCAGTGATGGTATTTCAGAATGGTGATGACGCCAGAATATGTAGCTGGGGAAAAAAAGAAGGCATAAGCAAGAGTTACTTGAAAAATGAACCGTTTGTTGAAAAGAAACCAGGACTATTGCAGCAGCTCCCTCTCCCTATTTCTTACTGTCCGCAACAAACACCGATAAAACTTGACAGATAATCAGGGGGTCAAAGACCCCACCGAAATTATATTAAAACATAGATTAATCATCTGCAGTGTTAAAAAAAATGCGGCATTACTAGTATTTATAAAGACAATATCCGTCGTCTGTTGTCTTCACAGCTCCAAATATTGGTTGTTTTCCATGAATAAATAATCACAATTAAAAATTAATCTACAGACACTTTATTTGAAGGACGACAAAGCATTTGTGGTCCAGGAATAGCGTTATATAGACCTAAAGATGGTTATAGATAGAGAAAGTTAACTTTCAAAATATCGGAATAATGCTGCATGTAGTCCATGGGCCTTCCATGTTAATCAAATTATACTTAACTAGACGATTCTGGTAAATAAATAAATGTTAATGATAAAATGTGATCTGTGATAAATTAGTACAAAAAAATACTTTCCACTGATAGTTTTTATCTTCCATCTAGATTATTTATACGCGTTCCATCCGAAGTGACAATGTAGCAGAAAACGTTTCTACGATACACGATGTTTACACCTGCTGCTATGCGTTCTATCCGGTTCGCGTTTACCTATGAAATGAATGCTTCAGCCCCGTCTACAGTTAGGAGTTTGTTCTTTTTTTTTTAAATAATATTACAATAACACCAAGTCAATTTATCGATATTAACCTGAAAAAACAAAAATAGTTTTTTTTATGTGACCAGAGTGTTCTTATTCGGACACATCTCATTTATTTGGACTCCAAAAAATAAAAACAACCAAAAAATGTTTTGGTTTGGCATTACTAGCATGTTTCCGCTAAAGATTAAGTGAATTAATAGTAGATAACGGTCAACATGGTCAATGCGTAGTTTCTAACAACCTCTGTCTCTAAAAGATTAAATTAAAAATCAACAATTTTTGTTCACCTAAATATACCAAATGAAATGTTGTTCATAAAAGGTACTAAAAAGCCTTGTTAAGATCATTAATTATTATATACCTTTCCTTGAATATAGTAATTTGGTACACCAATATATTATTTAGTTCCCTTTAAATGTAATTAAAATTGAGGAAACAAAAACAGCTGTAATTAAATAGAAAGTTCAGAAGATTATTCTTGAGAAACAGAAAAATAGATCATAGAGAAAAGTTGTATTTCCATAGATCGAAATAGTATGTGTAATTTAGATATCTTACAGAGCCCCTGACATGGCATTTGTTATTTCAAAGTCTG